AAAAAGCTTGTAAAAACAGCTTCCACAAAATAAATCTGAAGTGACATTGTTGGTTTCACACAAATTGTGTTTTCAGCTACAAAACAAAGAAATCTTAGATATAAATGATCGAGTGTCATGATACGAAGAGAGGTGAAGGGGAGGGGGGAAGAAGGCAGTGAGAGAGAGAGAGAGAGAGAGAGAGAGAGAGAGAGAGAGAGAGAAAGAATCTTACTGTAACATCTTTAGTAGGGACACATCCAGGAGTGAGCGAGTGGGTGGTCTTCTTGGAGCAGTTGGTTGGGGACCAAACCACGTCAGTGAAGTTGTAATAAGTTCCAGACAAAAACTGAAAATACAGATTTGAACACATCTATACATCCAAGTTGAACAGTCAGAGGGCCTCACAAAATTCAAGTCATTTGACTACTGGTGTGGGGCTACTGGAGTGGGGCTACTGGAGTGGGGCTACTGGAGTGGGGCTACTGGAGTGGGGCTACTGGAGTGGGGCTACTGGAGTGGGGCTACTGGAGTGGGGCTACTGGAGTGGGGCTACTGGAGTGGGGCTACTGGAGTGGGGCTACTGGAGGGGGGTACTGGAGGGGGTACTGAATTTGGGTTACTGGAGCGGGGTACTGGAGTAGGGCTACTGGAATGTAGCTACTGTATTGGGTCTACTGAAGAGGAATACTAGAGTGGGATTACACCTATCACAAGAAGTGAATCTACATTACACACATATAACAACAAGAATTGAATCTAAAACACACACATATATCACAAAAAGTGACTCTACAACACACACATATCACAACAGGAAGTGAATTAAGAACACACACATCATAACAAGAAGTGAATCTACAACGCACACATATCATAACGAGAAGTGACTCTAAAACAACACATATCACAAAAGGTGACTCTACAACACACACATATCTCAGCAAGAAGTGACTTAACAACACACACATATCACAATTGACTCAATAACACACACATATCGCAAGAAGTGTCTCAACAATACACATATCACAGCTAGATGTGACTCAACAACACACATATCACAGCTAGATGTGACTCAACAACACACACATATCACAGCAAGAAGTGTATCAACAACACACACATATCACAGCAAGAAGTGTATCAACAACACACACATATCACAAGATGTGACTCAACAACACAAACAAATCACAAGAGACTCAACAACACAAACAAATCACAGCAATGACTTACCTGAGAAGTGACTTGACCGATGGACACAGCTTTCCACAGGACGGGACAATCTGAATTGTTGTTCAATTTGCACTCAGCGAAGCTCAGGGCTTTTTGGACCTCGGTGCTGTTGATGTTGACCACAACTGGTTTTGCATGACTAGCTGATAAATGTTAAAATGGTATATAAAAGTGATTCGCGAGTGCGTTTGTGTGGGGTGGCCGGGGGGGGGGGGGGAGGAGGCCGTGAGGGAAAGGAAATTTTTAAAAATATAATTATTTTCTTGCCCATCAAAGAACGTTTCACGGAAACACCAACCCAATGTGTATGTGATAGTAATTCAAGCTTGCAGAGTATTAGGAGAAGGCCGGGAGGTTCTTTATCAGGCGATGCTTAAGAATATTCTAGACTTTCTAGAATAAGGAGTTTGAGCCTCGAAACAAAATTTTTCAAGATGGTTATAGTATTTTAATGTTTGTCTCTACTGACCATCATCAACGCAGAATGGATCCCTGGTAGTTACAAGTGCTTCGCTGGCGATCAGCCATGGGCGGGACCAGACTTCAACGTGGCACAGGTCAACCTGGTGGTCGAAAAAAGAGTGCGTTAGAGTGTGATACACTATGGCTACTATAGTCGTTGACTAAATCGAATCAGGCGTGTACTCTGGGCTCACCGGTGAGCATTAACGCACCCACGTTTTTTTCATTTTAAAGTGCACCCTACAATAGAGACACGGTGGCCCACGATGCATAAACTTAACCAGGGGCCATATACGGTGCCACTATTTTAGTATAACCTGTGAATCTCGATTCTCGAGAGCGCCACTTTGACGCGAATGACACTTGTGTGGTCACCGAGGAATATTCTACCCCCACTAATGCAGAGGGTGATTTAACTCAAGGGCTTCACTCAGCACGCCCTGGAGCGTCTGGGCGGTAATGTGGACAAACCCGCGCCTTAACAACTATGATTTAAAAAAATACAGCGCCGGCATTGTTTACTCTTAAATTATTCAGATTTTGAAAAAAAGATCATGTGTCTAAAAATACACGATTGGTAACACATTGATGAAATTATCTTTTAATATTGCGTCAGCATTTCTTCAGAGACCACATTAACGTGCGTGATGGGTACGCCAGTGTGATATATAGGAAAACATAGTTTCTTACACCGCTGGCAGAAAGTTGTTGATTACTTGCTATGTATAGCTCTCTGTTTGCTATTGATATTGTCGTTTGAGGAAAAATGTTAATTATTCCTAGGCACATGTCATTTGAAATATACCACAAGCCGGTATGTCAATAAGCTCAAACTTGAATGTAAAATGGTTATCTGGCACTCGAGAGGTGAAGTTTATAGCACGCTGTTAAAGTGTGTGTTTTTAAAAATTATTTTTCTATCCCTTTTAATAAAAGTAAAATAATAATCTCCTAAGAAACACATAAAGAAACTTAGTCGATTTTTAAATTGTCAATGCAACAAACAACGTTTAATAAATAATTTACAATACTTAACTAAAATCTTTCTAACAAATATGTTTTGATGAAAGGGGGTTGTTCGAGCTAAGGGGAGTAATATACACCAACATTTAAAGTACGCAGGCGTACTAAAAGATTATTGTTAGCTGTTACCTTCTTTCCAGGTGCGGTTAAGACCAGGTCCAGGTACCATTTTTCACCCTCGACAGTCTGTTTGAGATAAGGTAGATACATTTTGTTAGAACATTTCTCATTCAAATACAAGGTGCTGAATAGATTTTGTTAGAACATTTTCACTCAAATACAAGGTGCTGAATAAGACACTAAACAGGTAGGGTGAGGTTAGCAACTTGACACAGATAGTGTTACAAGCTCCGACAGATGAGGCCAGTTAACCCCACTGCAAGTAACACCAGAAACAAAAGAAATCACAACGTTTCATTCGTTGTTTCATTGTTATATTAGTTTAACATGCTTTATTGTTAGCAAAAGTGTCTGAATGTTTCCTTTTCCAAAAGAATCTGAATGTTTCCTTCCCTAAAGTATCTGAATGTTCCTCTCTCAAAAGTAGCTGAATGTTCCCCTCCCAAAAGTATATGAATGTTTCTCTCCCAAAAATATCTAAATGATTCTCTCCTAAAAGTATATGTGAAGCTATAGGTAAACATGACACATACGGTATTGTGAAGCTAGAACAAACACATTTATTACATGCGTTGAAGTATAATGAGTAATTAAAATTCAAAGTAATGCAATAAAAAAACCAATCATCTCTTGAATAGTACAGTAACACATTAAAATGATTACTTAAGTAATGTCCGGTGAAATTACCCTTGTTAAGGCGGGTCTGGTGAACATACCTGTACATAGGCTGACGAAACATTACAGAATGTTCTAATGACCCCTAGCTTCTTGTTGATGGCCTCGACTGCGAACTTGACAATGGGACAGCTGCCATTTAGTCCTGTTACCTCTCTGACTTCACCTGGTTGAAAGGCCATACACGTCGACACGACCAGCAATATGATGGACAGAAAGAAATACATGACTGCGGGCAGCTGATGTTACTGTATGTGGGCTGTAACTGACACTGTAACAAGGAAAGTGGGATTGGGAGTTTTGTTATCACAGGTAAGGGTGGTCACTGGAAGAAGTAAGGGAGGTCACTTGAACATATAAGGGAGGTTATTAAAACATATAAGAGAGGTCACTGGGACATATAAGGGAGGTCAGTGGAAGAAGTAAGGGAGGTCATTAGAACAGAAAACACACACGCACACACACACACACACACACTCACACTCACACACACACACACACACACACACACACACACACACACACACACACACACACACACACACACACACACATATATATATATATATATATATATATATATATATATATATATATATATGTGTGTGTGTGTGTGTGTGTGTGTGTGACTAGTGTTGTCTAGTCTTTGACAAAATGTGCTGGAGTGGTGAATCGTACGGTTAGGAAATAGCTCATAAACGATACATTGATCTACTCGATACTTGCGTGGCTAAGAAAGAGGGGTGGGATGGGGGTCGGCTCGGGAAAAGACTTGAAAGAGACAACAAAGCGGTCATGTACGTCAGCATAGCCCATTGTAAAACTTACTCATGGGAGATAATTCCAAGTATAGGATACAAATTCAACCACTATCACAAACACATATTAACATTGAAAAATGTACAATGGATTTCGGGTCCCTAACCTATGCCGCAAAGAAGAACCGTGCATCAAGAAAGCCCACTACATATGTAGCGGCTTCTCGTGCTATGGACTTTGTTTTTTTTTAAAAGAATTTTGAAGGGAAAAAGAACTCGGGATTGACGATTGTTAAAAATACAACTATAAATAACTTTTTAAAATATATAACAAATTTGACGACAATTTTTGAGCCCCCTTTTTGGTCCCCATCCCCTGCCCCACCCACCACAGTACACTTTGGAGGATCGGTCAAAGAAGTCATTCAAATTTAAAGAGTTGCCTATATTTTACACTGTAGTTTGTGTAATGGATTCTATTTTTTGCAGAAGAGCGTGGTATAGTGACTGTTAAATAAAGATAATCGTACCGCAGCTACAGTGTTTTTCTTTTACAAACCAAATATCAATGCAAAAATGCACGAAAATTAAATTCAAAATTAAAAAAAAATATTAATTTTGGTCAGCCGTGGGCCCCTAAAAATCCTGGGCCCCCCCGCATTGCGGGGTCTTGCGGCACTGTAGTTCCGCCCCTATATATATATATATATATATATATATATATATATATATATATATATATATATATATATATATATATATATATATATATATATATATATATATAATTTATTGATTTATTCATTGGTAGATTAATCACATTAATTATAAAAGTTCAGAACAAAGACTTTACTTAGAGTGAATAGTGACGTCACATGATTTATTTACTTTTTGAAACAACAATGGCGGTTTCATCGAAGATTGTTTTGCCCATTCAGATCTTTAACGCGTTATAAAGCTAATTTTCTGTCGGTTATAACTTTAACAACACGCCCGTTTGCTATTTTTATTTCGTTTCAACACTATTATCAATGTTTTAACAGTTCTTTTTATTGGGTCTACGACAAATTCCCGAAAGACACTTGCCCGAATGCCGTTTGCCCGAAGGCCGATTTCCCGAATGGACACTTGCCCGAATGGGACAAATGCCCGAATGGACACTTGCCCGAATGCGACAAATGCCCGAATGGACACTTGCCCGAATGCGACAAATGCCCGAATGGACACTTGCCCGAATGCGACAAATGCCCGAAAGCCACTTGCCCGAATGCGACAAATGCCCGAATGGACACTTGCCCGAATGCGACAAATGCCCGAAAGCCACTTGCCCGAAGGCTGTTTGCCCGAAAAATGTTAATATTATATATTACCAAATAATCATTTGTAATAAATTTAAATTTGTAATGTTTTTAAACAATACATGATTACCTAAGCAAAAAAAAAAGAATAAAATAACGTTATTTTTTTCCACGCAGACATTTTTAATTAATTAGTATTAAACAACACAAAAAATACCATTTTCGTTTATCTCAGGATTTTAAAATGCAATTTGCTTTATTTATTAAGTAATCGCTTCAACACATTGTCTAAACAAGGTGCATGAAATGGTGATAAAACATATTGACTATCTTTAGTTTGTAAATTCGCCGCCTAGATCGAGCCTCGTTCTTTGTGAATTGATAACCACACATGTTAAACAAAACAAAACAAAACAAAAATGAAACGAAGGCGCCTCTGTTCAATGTTGCGAGACGCCGCGTCGCCTACACCGTGTCATAAACGCCATCTAACCACTGCAACATGTTGGTTAAACAAGGTGTTCAAAAAGTTTATGAAAAGAATGTAGAGACACCGCCACCAACATCACCTTATGTTGGTTTAAGAAAAACGATTTTTTACAGCAATTTCTCAGTTTTCAAAAAAATAAAAGCTAAATTTTTAAAAATATGAACAACTTTGTTTTTATGCTTAGAATTGTGTTTATTATCAATATTTAAAACTTGAATTGATAAAGAATGTCTATTTGGTAATATCATTTCTTTTCTAATATTAACATTTTTCGGGCAAACGGCCTTCGGGTAAGTGGCTTTCGGGCATTTGTCGCATTCGGGCAAGTGTCCATTCGGGCATTAATCGCATTCGGGCATGTGTCCATTCGGGAAATGGGCCTTCGGGCAAACGGCATTCGGGCAATTGTCTTTCGAGAAAACTCCCCTTTTTATTTTATTATACAATACATTTCTCTAGATCTACAGATCAGCTGTCGAAATAAGGAAAAGTTATGAATCTAGATCTAGATCTAGGTCACTAGACTTAACGTAAATTCTAGACAGGGGCGTAGCGAGGGGGGGGGGGGGCGGGGGGTGCGGACCGCACCGGGTGACACCATTTAGGGGGGTGACACCAAGGCAAAAAATGGCAAAATATAGAGAGAAAAACTTGAGGGGGGGGGTGCAAATCGAAAGTTTTGAGGGAGGGGGGGTGCAAATCGAAAACTTGAGGGGGGGTGCAAATCGAAAACTTGAGGGGGGGGGGGTGCAAATCGAAAGTTTGAGGGGGGGGGGTTCAAATCGAAAACTTGAGAGGGGGGGGGGTGCAAATCGAAAACTTGAAAGTTTGTCCCCGGTAAGGGTCGCAACGCCTCTGGGGGGGGGTGATACCATTAAGTGCCGCACCGGGTGACACCCGACCTCGCTACGCCACTGATTCTAGATCTAGACTTAATGTAAATTCTGCATCTAGAATAGAGATCTAAAATCTATTTCAGGCCTTAATTATTTTATATAAATCTTTCTTTAGCTTCAATGATCATCTAATTCGAGAATGCAGGGGATTTATCTATCTAGGTTCTATATCTAGATCTAGATCTAGAGTTACGGCAAAAACTAGAATCTAGACTCAACGTAAATTCTACATTTAGAACCTAGAACAAGTATCTATATACTAAACTATTTCAGGCCTTAATTATTTTATATAAATCTTTGTTTGTTTAGCTATGGAATAGGCTAATTTGGGATATAGGCTCCTAATTGAATTTAAAATAATAGGACCTATTCACGTAACTGGTTTCTTACTTTAAAGTACATTATAGGACTAACTCTACATTGGTTAATCAGTGCCAATATAGCAAAGATGGTAGTTGAATGGCTACCATGATGGTGGTACGGGTTCGAGACACATCACGACATAGTAATTTTATTTTTTTCAATTTTTGTTTTTTTAAACGTGAATGAAGAAGTTGCCTATCGGGACCTCGAGGGACACAGAGCAGGCCAAGTAGAGTTCACCTGTTTCTTTGTCCTCAGCATACAAAGGGATAGTGTGGTCAGAGACATGCTCGGCCGGAATAGTTTTTTTTTAAAACGATAAAAGCATGTTGTCTGAGACTTGGCGGGTCACTGGACAGGTAAAGTAGAGATGAGTAGGTCACCTTTGACTTCAGTATGAAAGGATAATATGGTCAGACTCATGCTCAGCCGGAATCGGTGTTTTAAAAAGATAAAAAACGTCTTTTACTGGATATTTTGTGATGATAAGGGACAGACGTGATATCATTTTTTGACCACCTCACCCAGAGGCGTAGCGACCCTTCCCGGCGCCCGGGGACAAACTTTTCGATTTGCACCTCCCCCCTCGATATTTTGATTTGCACCCCCCTCAAACTTTCAATTTGCACCCCCTCAACATTTCAATTTATTTTTCCAACCCATTTTGGTGCCCCCTCAGCTCGGCGCCCGGGGACATATGTCCCCTCGCCCCCCCCCTCGCTACGCTACTGACCTCACCATATCGTATCTCACATTAGACCAACATATCGTATCTCACATTTGACCACCTCACCAAATGGTATCTCACATTTGACCCCCTCACCATACGGTCTCTCAAATTTGACCACCTCACCAAATGGTATCTCACATTTGACCACCTCACCATACGGTATCTCAAATGTGACCACCTCATCATATCGTATCTCACATTTGACCACCTCACCAAATGGTATCTCACATTTGACCCCCTCACCATACGGTCTCTCAAATTTGACCACCTCACCAAATGGTATCTCACATTTGACCACCTCACCATACGGTATCTCAAATGTGACCACCTCATCATATCGTATCCCACATTTGACCACCTCACCATATGGTATCTCACATTTGACCACCTCACCATATGGTATCCCATATTTGACCACCTCACCTTATGGTATCTCACATTTGACAACCTCGCCATACCGTATCCCACATTTGACCACCTCACCATATGGTATCTCACATTGACCACCTCACCATATGTTATCTCAATTTTTTGACCACCTCGCCATATGGTATCTCACATTTAAACACCTCACCTTATGGTATCCCACTTATGACCACCTCACCATACGGTATCTCACATTCGACCACCTCACCATATGGTATCTCACATTTGACCACCTCACCATATCGTATCCCACATTTGGCCACCTCGCCATATCATATCCCATATTTGGCCACCTCACCATATCGTATCCCACATTTGACCACCACACCATATGGTATCTCAATTTTTTGACCACCTCATCATATGGTATCCCACATTTGACCACCTCACCATATGGTATCTCACATTTGACCACCTCACCATATCGTATCCCACATTTGACCACCACACCATATGGTATCTCAATTTTTTGACCACCTCACCATATGGTATCTCAATGTTTTGACCACCTCACCATATGGTATCTCACATTTGACCACCTCACCATATGGTATCTCACGTTTGACCAACTCACCATATCGTATCCCACATTTGGCCACCTCGCCATAACGTATCCCATATTTGGCCACCTCACCATATCGTATCTCACATTTGACCAACTCACCATATCGTATCCCACATTTGGCCACCTCGCCATATCGTATCCCATATTTGGCCACCTCACCATATCATATCTCACATTTGACCACCTCGCCATATGATATCTCACATTTGACCACCTCACCATATTGTATCCCGCATTTGACCACCTCACCATATCGTATCTCACACTGGACCACCTCACTATATCGTATACCACATTTGACCACCTCACCATATCGTATCTCACATTTGACCACCTCACTGTATGGTATCTCAAATTTGACCACCTCACCATATGGTGTCCAAAATTTGACCACCTCACCATATCGTATCCCACATTTGACCACCTCACCTTATCGTATCTCACGTTGGACCACCTCACCATATCGTATCCCACATTTAACCACCTCACCATATGGTATCTCACATTGACCACCTCACCATATGGTATCTCAATGTTTTGACCACCTCACCATATGGTATCTCACATTTGACCACCTCACCATTTGGTATCCCACATATTACCACCTCACCATACGGTATCTCACATTCGAACACCTCACCATATCGTATCACACATTTGACCACCTCACAATATCGTATCTCAATTTTTTGACCACCTCCCCATATCGTATCCCACATTTGGCCACCTCACCATATCGTATCCCACATTTGGCCTCCTCACCTTATGGTATCCCACATTTGACCACCTCACCATATCGTATCTCACATTGGACCACCTCACCATATGGTATCTCAATTTTTTGACCACCTCACCATATCGTATCTCACATTCGACCACCTCACCATATGGTATCTCAATTTTTTGACCACCTCACCATATCGTATCCCACATTTGGCCACCTCACCATATCGTATCCCACATTTGGCCTCCTCACCTTATGGTATCCCACATTTGACCACCTCACCATATCGTATCTCACATTGGACCACCTCACCATATGGTATCTCAATTTTTTGACCACCTCACCATATCGTATCTCACATTCGACCACCTCACCATATGGTATCTCAATTTTTTGACCACCTCACCATATCGTATCCCACATTTGGCCACCTCACCTTATCGTATCTCACGTTGGACCACCTCACCATATCGTATCCCACATTTAACCACCTCACCATATGGTATCTCACATTGACCACCTCACCATATGGTATCTCAATGTTTTGACCACCTCACCATATGGTATCTCACATTTGACCACCTCACCATTTGGTATCCCACATATTACCACCTCACCATACGGTATCTCACATTCGAACACCTCACCATATCGTTTCCCACATTTGACCACCTCACCATATGGTATCCCACATTTAGCCACATCACCATATGGTATCCCAAATTTGGCCACCTCACCATATCGTATCCCACATTTGGCCACCTCACCATATGGTATCTCACATTTGACCAACTCACCATATGGTATCCCACATTTGACCACCTCGCCATATATCTCACATTTGACCACCTCACCATATGGTATCTCAAATTTGACCACCTCACCATATCGTATCCCACATATGACCACCTCACCATATGGTATCTCACATTTGACCACCTCCCCATATCGTATCCCACATTTGGCCACCTCACCATATCCTATCTCACATTGGACCACCTCACCATATTGTATCCCACATTTGACCACCTCACCATATCGTATCCCACATTTGACCACCTCACCATATGGTATCCCACATTTGGCCACATCACCATATGGTATCCCACATATGACCACCTCACCGTACGGTATATCACATTTGACCTCCTCACCATATCGTTTCCCACATTTGACCACCTCACCATATCGTATCTCACGTTGGACCACCTCACCATATCGTATCCCACATTTAACCACCTCACCATATGGTATCTCACATTGACCACCTCACCATATGGTATCTCAATGTTTTGACCACCTCACCATATGGTATCTCACATTTGACCACCTCACCATTTGGTATCCCACATATTACCACCTCACCATACGGTATCTCACATTCGAACACCTCACCATATCGTTTCCCACATTTGACCACCTCACCATATGGTATCCCACATTTAGCCACATCACCATATGGTATCCCAAATTTGGCAACCTCACCATATCGTATCCCACATTTGGCCACCTCACCATATGGTATCTCACATTTGACCAACTCACCATATGGTATCCCACATTTGACCACCTCGCCATATATCTCACATTTGACCACCTCACCATATGGTATCTCAAATGTGACCACCTCACCATATCGTATCCCACATATGACCACCTCACCATATGGTATCTCACATTTGACCACCTCCCCATATCGTATCCCACATTTGGCCACCTCACCATATCCTATCTCACATTGGACCACCTCACCATATTGTATCCCACATTTGACCACCTCACCATATCGTATCCCACATTTGACCACCTCACCATATGGTATCCCACATTTGGCCACATCACCATATGGTATCCCACATATGACCACCTCACCGTACGGTATATCACATTTGACCTCCTCACCATATCGTTTCCCACATTTGACCACCTCACCATATCGTATCTCACGTTGGACCACCTCACCATATCGTATCCCACATTTAACCACCTCACCATATGGTATCTCACATTGACCACCTCACCATATGGTATCTCAATGTTTTGACCACCTCACCATATGGTATCTCACATTTGACCACCTCACCATTTGGTATCCCACATATTACCACCTCACCATACGGTATCTCACATTCGAACACCTCACCATATGGTATCCCACATTTGACCACCTCACCATATGATATCTCACATTTGACTACCTCACCATATGGTATCTCACATTTGACCACCTCACCATATCGTATGTCACAGTGGACGACCTCAACATATTGTATCCCACATTTGACCACCTCACCATATGGTATCTCAATTTTTTGACCACGTCACCATATGTTATCCCACATATGACCTCTCACCATATGGTATCCCACATTTGACCATCTCACCATATTGTATCTCCCATTTGACCACCTCACCATATTGTATCTCACATTTCACCACCTCACCATATTGTATCCCATATTTGACCACCTCACCATATCGCATTCCACATTTGACCACCTCACCATATGGTATCCCACATTTGACCACCTCACCATATGATATCTCACATTTGACCAACTCACCATATGGTATCCCACATTTGACCACCTCACCACATCGAATGTCACAGTGGACGACCTCAACATATCGTATCCCACATTTGACCACCTCACCATATGGTATCTCAATTTTTTGACCACCTCACCATATGTTATCCCACATATGACCACCTCACCATATGGTATCCCACATTTGACCACCTCACCATATTTTATCTCACATTTGACCACCTCACCATATTGTATCTCACATTTCACCACCTCACCATATTGTATTCCATATTTGACCACCTCACCATATCGTATCCCACATTTGACCACCTCACTATATCGTATCCCACATTTGACCACCTCACCATATGATATCTCACATTTAACCAACTCACTATATGGTATCTCACATTGGACCACCTCACCATATGGTATCCCACATTTGACCACCTCACCACATCGAATGTCACAGTGGACGACCTCACCATATCGTATCCCACATTTGACCACCTCACCAAATGGTATCTCACATTTACCAACTCACCATATGGTATCTCAATTTTTTGACCACCTCACCATATCGTTTCCCACATTTGACCACCTCACCATATTGTATCTCACATTTGACCACCTCTCCATATTGTATCTCACATTTGACCACATCCTCATATGGTATCTCACATTTGACCACCTCCCCATATTGTTTCTCACATTTGAGTACCTCACTATATTGTATCCCACATTTGACCACCTCACCATATTGTATCTCACATTTGACCACCTCACTATATCGTATCTCACATTTGACCACCTCACCTTATGGTATCCCACATTTGACCACCTCACCGATGTGGCGGAAATGTGGTATATTTGTTTAAAATGTGTCATTCTTTTGATGATTTTTAGCTAAGGTTATTCGTTTCAGTATGTCTGAAGATGAAAATCTATCAATGTAATGAATAAAATTCGTATTTTATATAACAAAATATAAAATGTTCAGTCGATTAAAATCTTTCAAAATATGTAAGCAATATGCTGTAGGTATGTTGTCGTGACATATTTTGTTGTGCCATATTTTGTCGTGAGATATTTTGTCGTGAGATATTTTGTCGTGAGATATTTTGTCGTGAGATATTTTGTCGTAAAATATCTTGTCGTGAGATATTTTGTCGTGAGGTAATTTGTCTAGGATAGTTTCTATGATATTTTTTTAGTTGACTTGTCTTTGAGAGTGAGTATGTAAACGTGAATGTGTGTATGTGTGTTTGTGTGTCAGTGTGTGTGTGTGTGAGGGAGAGAGAGAGAGGGATGGAGACAGAGAGTGGCAATTTAACAAAAATGATACTGGAAAAACCATTGGAATAAGTAACAAACTGAACCTCATTTAAAAAATGTACATTTACTAACCATATTTTAGAAGCAACCAGTGTAAAAAAAAAAGAGAGGTTAAAGCGACATACCTTCAGATGAGGAGCACTAAAACCAAGATAGCCAGCTGATCACCAAGTGCGACTTTAATGTTTTCAAACTGTGATTGAGACATCACGTGATGCCACGTGGTGATCACGTGAATCCACGTGGTGTCAGGGGATTCTCAAACAGCTCAACCTGTCTTGACAAGTAATTTAAATTTATTCTTGGAAAACAAGGTAGCAGATTGAAAAGAAATCGATTGAGGTATTAGCTTAAAACGTGGGGACCCATGACACGTTGGATCTGGACTATGAGTAATCCCTCACAGCCAGCTCTAGCTAATAAGGTTTTCAAATATCAACATCATTAAAGCTATAGATCAGTGGTTCGTACACATAGTTCGATCAAACCCCAGGGGTTCGGTGAGTCAGTTTCAGGGGTTCGGCGGAGGTAAAGACACACACCCGACTGATATGATACAAGATCGGATTTTGTCAGTGCGAACGACAGACCTATCAATAGTAGGGTTCGGAATTAGCATATGGCAGTGGTGGAGTTCAGTATTTGGGGAGTTAGCATTCGGCAGTAGTGGGGTTCAGTATTTTGGGAGTTAGCATTCGGCAGTAGTGGGGTTCAGAACCTACAGAAATGACAAGAGCCGCTGCTATAGATCCTTAAAATTACAACCTATACGAAGCAACCACGTTAACGTTATTTAATCAACACCTTGATTCTTTGACCTCATCAGCTCTAATAACATTAATCTGTATTTATTAGCCTAAATCCATACATTCACTGACCTAATCCTAACTTATCGCACAGGCTTAACGTGTTTGCATGCCGAATTTTCTAATACCTTCGTTTTAACATCTAATTTAGTGTTGTAGGATTACATTAACAAACAAATAGTTGGAAATTGATAAAGATAATTTAACAGCTATCTATCCCATTTTTTGTTCGGCTTGTATTGGCTTGTCTTAACGAATCTTAGATATAGCTAAAACTGGCTATCTCTAATCCTCTGATTGCTGCAGTTAGCACTGGGTATGGCTAATCCAATTGATTGGTCTTATCTAATCTTTGGTACAGTTGGCACTGACTTGGTCTCAGGATTAGTGTTAGTGTTTGAAAAGGGATAAGGCAGGGTTCAGGCATGGGTATACACATAGTTATACGGTTAGGTTTAGGTTTAAGCCTAGGTTTAGATGGACTCGAGTTCAGGTTCGGGTTTAGTTTTAAAGTTGAGGTTAAGGTTAATGTTAATGTTTGGTTACCAATTCAGGTTAAGGTTCATGTTAGGCTTCTGGTTCTTGCAGAGATTCGGGTTCGATTACGGTTTCTTGTTCAGGTTAATATTGAAGTTGATGTTGATGTTGATGTTAATGTTTATATTGATATTGATATTAATGTTTATGTTGTTGTAGGTGTTGAAGTTAGGTTAAGTTCAAGTTTAACGTAAATGTTAAGGTTTAGGTGTATAATTAGGTTGATGTTTGGGTTTAGGTTTACGTTTAGGCTGAGGCTAATGTTGAACCTCAGGTTAAGGTTGAAGATCAGATTCAGGATAAGGTAGAGGTTGAGGTTTAAGTTAAGAGATAGAAAACAAGAAACATTATCAGCTTAGCGCCCATAGTATTTATCTCGCATCGGGCGAATTATCTAGACTTAAATATTCCTAAATTTTAAATGTTTTCTAAGGGTACATGAATTTTAGCTTTGTGAAGAATTCACTAGGAAAAGATTTAAAAATAAAATAAGTAATATTTTAAAGCAGATCGGATAATGCGGTTCATGTATACAATCACTGCAATGAAAGTTTTAAAATAATTAATTAAGTATTAATTGTTATATTAATTTAATTTAGCGAGATCGTCGCGTCTAATGCTAGCTGGCAGTCAGCTGTAAATCTACCTGTTGTGTTAACTTTATCTGATTTTAAAGTGGCATTTACTCAGTGGCATTCAATCGTGGCATTCAACAATTGTCATTTAGTCCAAGTGTTATTGATAGAGATCTTGAGAACCTCTGACACGTAGATGGATCTGGGCTGTGAGGCCTCACCGGTCACCCCCTCCACCCACAAGACAGCTAGAGCTGATACCGTTTTCAAACATCCACATCATTAAAGCCATATATCCTTAAAGTTACAGCCTATAGGTGGCATCCACGTGAACTCAATTTTTTAACACCGTGATTCTATTACCCATCCCGTAGCTCTAATAACCTTAATCTGTATTTCAGTCCAAAGTCAAACAGCCACACCGAGGACCTAATCATAATACAGGTTCTGTGTGTTTACATGTTAAGTTTTAAAACACCTTCATTTTGAAACGTCATTTAGTGTTGCATGATTACATTAGCAAACTAATAGCCTGTGATTTATAAAGGTCTTTTGTATAATAATAATTAAACTCTGTTGAAAAAGATTTGCGATGGGTACAAATTTCCATCTATCCCATATCGGTATAGCTTACAAGATTATGGTCTAAAACAATCCTTAGTACGGATAGCATTCGATTAATCTAATCCCATGTTTAGTGTAGCAGGAATTTTTAAAATGAAAAGCAGTTACACTTTCTGATCCTTCTACTTCCCTCGTACCGCACTCTTGTAAACTGATGAAGTTTTACAACCGGTTCCACAGATTTAACACATTAGACTGAGAGCGAATGTGTTATGCAACAGTTGAACGCGTTTTTCTACAGGATGACAGAAAACGGGAAAACGTAGTTTAAAATTTTACGGAGGTGGGGAGTAGGGGGGGAGGGGGGGGGGGGAGGGAGAGTCATAACATTAACAGTTGTAAAAAAATGGAAGTCGTATCGGCGAAAATAATTAACGGGAGACTAAAGCCGCTAAAAGGGTGTGAATTATATGGCTTAACCTGTGGTCAATTAGAAGCTAGTGGCGCTCACACTAGCTGTCAGCTAAAGACCCAGGCAGTAGCTTTCAGCTAGACTGGCATTAGCTAGCAGCAAGAATCCTTAGCCATAAGAAAAAGCCTTAAATTACAAAAACAATTATAGAACTACGTCTTTTTAACACTAAATTAAAACATTTTTTGGTGAGTGTGATTGGAAAATATAGCTCGTTTGACCTTGTGAATGTAACCTACATGTCCATGGGGTTCAAAAGTTCATAAGGTCGCCAGGTATGTAGTTGTCATCTAAAGTCATTTACCTCACAGCTATACTGTCTCCATCTCCAGCTATACTTTGGCAACGATGTCCATGCTATTTGGGGAATACCCAATGAAGCAGACGAAGGTTACGGAGGAAATATTAACTGTAGATTTTGTCACAATAAACAAGACATCATGGACAACATATCAGCTTGCAAACTCAAGGTGCTAAGATGCTTAAAACATCAAATACAAAATTTAAATGATCTGAAGTGGGTGACAATGTATGCATCCGTATACCAGATGTTGACAGAGGTTGTCATAAGCGTCAAGGGCGCTTTCTACAATTAGGAACGGAACACGGTGTTCTAAAACAACTGTATGCTAGAATTGAGTTTTTATTCTTCACGAAAAACTGCTCTAATTGTCGTCAGTTTGCACTGAGGAAAAACAATACGAACCATCGCATCTTCACAATCATTGACCGGCGGCCAAGGCTACACTCGCTGCAATTGCATAACCAAGTGCACAACAAAGCACTGCAAGTGTAAAAATAAAAAACTGCTATGTAATTCTAAATGTCATAAAAGTTTAATTCGTTGATTGATTGAGACTAAAGTACAATTTAAAAAATTGAATTTTTCTGTCATTTACTAAAGAATATTCAATGAAGACTTAATTTGATGA